GAAGGTGAAAAGGATCATTTGTTCTTGGGCTGAGCTTCAGAGTTTAGATGCCAAGATATCGCTCAGGCTCCCCAGACATTTTGAAATACAGAAGGCCAGCTCGCCCTAAGCCCTACCATAACAACCAGAATGCTTAGCCTGTTTAGTGAAAAAGACTACAAGAGAACATTCTCTGTGGAAGATGGAAAGGAATCAGTGGAGTCCTGAGACTCTTAAGTGGTGGAATGTGCATACTTGAGGATTAAGGTAAACACTTTGGGTCATGGCCTGGGGTTGGACAAAAAGACCAAACAGCAGGCGCCCAAGGATTGTCGAGAGCTCACAGAAGGTGCTAGAATTCCGCGTGCTTCCCACTGGGCTGTATACACAGAGGAGATCCTGTCCCTCAGAGGGCCTGTGCGGTACTGCTCAGGGCTGTGTCTCAGGCAGACAGATCTCTGCAGGCCAGGCTGGAAAAGCAGAGGTTGCTCAGTTTGAACTGGGGGCTGGCATTTTGCCTTTGTGTCAGATTCAGAGGTCTGTCTTCAGACCAGGTCACTCACCCGGAGTTCAGGGGCAGATCTGCCGCGTTGTGTCCACCCTGGCTCCATTGCTGTTTGGGAACCGACTTGGTTTTGAGAGCATCAGCGTCTCTCTGTATTCCTCCTGAGCTGTGTGACCTTCCTGGGCATGCTGCTCTATCCAGGAGCCAGCAGTGCTCTCCCACCTGCTCTTCCTAATTGCCCCTTTGCGACCTTGCAAAAAACAAGCACACCCTCCATCTTATCATGATGCATTTTTCCAGGGTGCATGAGAGGAAGCATAGTTTTAACAGTTATTGTAGGGGTACAGGTGCAAAAATGTCTGAAGACTTAGTGAGGTTAATCTCCCTTGAGCAATCTAATCGGTGTTGTCCCTTAGAAATATAATGGTAGTCACAAGTATGGGCGGCATTTGTCATTTTAAATTTCCTAGTAGCCACATTAAAAAAAAAAAAGTAAAAAGAAATGGGTGAATTAATTTTAATAATACATTGTATTTAACCTTATATATCCAAACTATTGGGTTGTCGGAAAAGTCATGACGTATTTTTTCTCAGTTTTTCATTGCAAAAATGCATCATGACTTTCCCGACAACCCAATATTATCACTTCAACATGTAGTCAGTATCAAAACAACTATTAATGAGACATTTTACATTCTGTTTTTTCACACTAAGTCTGAAGTTTGGGATATACTTTACACTCACAACGTGTCTCAGTGCAGACTTGCCACATGTGACTAGTGGCTACCACATTGGATGGTGCAGCTGTAAGTGGTAAAATGCATCACCTTTAAGCCGATGATAGCATGAGGAAGCCGAGCATTTAGACTGGTCCATGTTTGAATTATGAAAAATCACATAGCTGACTGAGAGGGCATTGCTTACGAGCACCAACTCTGGATCCGGACTGAATTCCAGCCTCACCGCCTATCAGCTGGAGACCTTGTACGAGTTCCTTAACTGCTCTTCACATTCGTTTCCTCTTTTATAAAATGAGGATAATAACAGTCCCTTCTTCTTCTGATTGTTATGAAGATTAAAAAACAACTATATATAAAGTACTTAGGCATCTGGAAAGCACTCTTCAGGTTTTTGTTTTGTTTTTTGTTGTTGTTATTATTATTTCTAGTTAAGCCCATGTGGGTAACCATGGTGGTGGCAAAAACTCCAGCTTGCTCATCGGAAGACGTGCTTTCTGCCATTGTTATTTTGTGTTTTAGAGCCTCTCTGCACCTCAGCTTCCACAGGTTTGAGTGCGTCTAGGACCTCCTGCCTCTCAGGACACCATACTGGATGAACAAATAATACAATGCGTATTATAGCTACCATTTTATCTTCTATTTGCCAGCGCACTTTTTATGTATTACTTCATTTCATCCTTCCACAGCTATTTGAGGGAGATGTTTTACCCCCATGTTAGACTGGAGGAAATTAAGACTCGGTGACCGGCCCCAGGTGCGATGTGGGGCAGGGGCCGAGCTGGAATTGGAATGCTGGAGCATCTGACCTTGAAGCTCACGCCCTTGGACAGTATCACGTGCTGTTGCCCATGTACACATCATGATTATCACTAAGATGTACAGATTCGTTCACATAAAACTAAAATCTAAGTGAAACCGTGGAGGCCTTTCTGTTTCCCCAAGATGGCTGATTAAGCTAACATGAAATACCCTCTGATGAAAACACCTAGAAGTGCCAGATAAATACAGCAAAAATTTACTTAAATGAACAACTGAACTTGCAAGAGGGGAGGAACTAGCCATCAGAGAATCCAAACTGCAGTGAGATATGACTTTACATCCACTAGGGAGTATATATTGTATTCTGGGGGTGTGAGTCCTGTATCTTTTCTGTCTCTGCTCTTACTTGAGAACACTGTCCCTTGGCATGTTATAAATTTTTATTGCATCCTTATCTTCATCAAGCTTTATCTATGGGATTCCACAAAAATATAGAAGTATTGCTCCTGAGCAGTTTTTGGTAGAAAACAAACAAGAAATGGGCATTAATATCCTTAGAGAGATAAGATTAGCAAAACTGGAAGCATCAGCAGTACCAAGCGTTTAGCTAGGATATGGGGCAGGGGCTCGTCCACCCTGCTGGTGATGCTGTCAACCAGGGCAGCCCTTTTGGAGAGCAACTGATGATACCTGGCAGAGCTGAAGAGGCAGCGAACCTATGACCCAGCCCATTTCACTTACGGAAACACATGTACAGGGAGACTTGCCACAAGGAGACTGTAGATGGATGTTTTTTGCTGCACTGTTTGTAAATAATGAAAAAGGAAACAACTACCAACAGCAGGGGTATGGTCAACGATCTGAGCTATGCTCAGCTATTCACATAGCTGTTAAATGAATGAAGCTGATCTAGTCACATAATGTGGATGTCTCAAAAATAAAACATTGAATGAAAAAATCAAGTTGCAAAAGGCTATAGAGTTGTATTTATGTAAATTTTAAATACACATAAAAACAATACAAAATTATTTGAGGATAATACTAGTATTGCGGAGTAACATAAAACAGTCCTTGGATGTAGGAGCTATCATGCCCACTTTGCAGCTGAGGAAACTGAGGCAAAAGAGACTTAAGTATCTTGTCCAGACTCACACAGCTACAGTAAGAAGTGAAGGGAAAAAAACCTGCTTGGGAATGTTTGCAAAAGTAAGAGGGAAGAAGCAGGATAGCATGAAAACATGGGATTTATTTGTAACTTTTTTTTTCTTCTCTTTCATCTGAAACAATTGTGGCCAACCTGAGTGTCTGTTACATTATTTTAAAATTTTTAATGTGATTAAATATTTCGTAGCACCACGTTTGAATGACTAAGGACACCATGATTTTGGAAAACTCAGCCTGCTGCTGAGTGCCCAGGGCACGGGGCTGACCAATAGAGCTGTGGATTCTATGGATCCGGCTGTGTATTTGTCACTGGGCTGCAGCAAAGCACCTTTCCCTGCCTTGGTTTTCATGCGCTTTACTAGATATTGATAGGGCTTTCCTGCCGGTGATGGTGGGGAGGAGGCAGCTCTGTGACCTCTGACAAAGAGACAGTGCTCTGAGCCAGAGGGATGCCAGAGAGAGCTCAGTTCTCCAGCTGCTCAGGAGGTACCTGGAGCTGTGCTTCCTGTTCAGGGCAGAGGTTTGGAAGGGAGAGTTTGGAATCTTGCCTAAATATATTCATAATATAGTTTTCTTTAAGTAGGGCCTCCTGCTGGGAATCTCAGTGTTATTTCCTTCATCACTGCTGACATCTGCAACTCAGAATTTAACTACTTGTTCTTTTCTTGTGTGGCTTTTATGCTGCAGGAAATACCGGGGAACCCTCTGTTATGTGGCACATTGTAGGGAAGGACATCTGCTAAATTAAACATGGTCGTTAATGCTTATTCTATTTCAAATGCGCAGTGCTTTTGAAGAGTTATCAAAGTTGAATCTGGGCGTTTAGAGTTGGAAGGGCACTTAGATATAATTTAGTATACCTTCCCCATTTTAAACATGAAGAAATTGAAAGAGTTGATATGTGCAGGATCATAGAGCTAATTAGAGAGCTGGAAGTAGGAAATAGGGCTCCCTACTCCCTCCCTGTGTCAGTGCAGCAGAGCACAATAAAATATACTTAAACGAAAATCTATGGAACATTACCTGGTTCTCACTGGCTGATTTATAGGAATCTGCAAAAGGGCTTTATAGGTATAAAACCCATAAATACATATTTGAAATGTAATATTTGAATGTAGTCAGAACACTAGCTCTAAAGCTTTTTTATGCTTCATGTTAAAGATAAGCTCCTGAGATGAAATTGCTTGCTATAATAGGGGTATTTGCACACCTGCCTTAGTTGTGTAAACTTAGATATCACTGGGCCCTAGGTTTTCTTCATTTTCCATTAAAGGGAAAGCCCTTCACTTATGCTCCAGAAGTGGTTCAGAATGAGAGGGCCTCAGTTTTAAGTCCACATGCTTGACTCCCATCGGGTGGGAGTTCTTGGCAAGAAGAGTTCGGCTGTAGACTTTTAGGATAGTTCTGTTTTGTTTTTATGGTCCTACACTGAAGTGGCTGAAGGATGCTGTGATCTGATTGGGAAAGTGCTGGAGTCAGTTGTGTGATTTTTCTCCTCCATCGCACTAACTCAGTGCTCCCTGGTGGCCCATTGTGAATACTGGAAGGGTAATTAAATCGTCTCTGCAGGACCTTTACTGTGGTAGCAGTCAATGATTTTCATTCATATTGGTGGTTGTTTTACGAATATAATACTTCGAAACAGATGCAGCATCCTTCTTTACCAAAAAAGGTAGAAAAGTCTTACTTGAAATCGTTCCATAGAATCAAGCTTAGTAAGCTTGGGCATTTATCTTAAGTCTTCCAGAAAATACGGCCAAGAAGAAATCATTAGCAAAGTGCCTGCAAATATGATCACATGTCAAACAAGAGATTGCCTTTATTTCGCTGTGATAACGTGATTTGTCTTGCAGTGTGTGAACTTAAGTCTCCCTCCATGAGTGACTTTCTGTGGGGACTAGAGAACTCTGGCTGGCTGAGGCACATTAAGGCCATCATGGATGCAGGAACCTTCATTGCAAAGGTACGCAATTGCAGAGCGTAGGTGGAGGGGCAAACCAGGCAGCGCACTGACTGCAGAGTGGACGTCCTGTCTCCTCCCATCAGCTGCCCTGAGCGGGGGAACTGCTTTGTAGACCTCCCTCTAGTTTGCCCTCTGAAGATGGGATTTTGCAAAAGAGAGGACAGTGCTTAGGCGATAGTATCAGCACAGCCGTCAAGGGGTAAAATGTTTTCAGAATATTCTCTCCAGTAAGGCTTGGTCCTAGACAGAAGGAAGAATTTTCTATAGGAGAGTACATCCAAATGTCACTTCAGTAACGGAGGCCTGAGGCTTCCATCTTAGTAAACAGGTCCTCCTCATTACTGATGGCATAAGCACAGCCATGGTCCTGGACCTGGCAGATGGATTTTGCCACAGGAAGAATCTTGCTGCAACTTTGATACAAGCTACTTTTTGATTGTCTATTTTGTTCAGTTTTTTTAAATATAAATCTCTCTTAGACTTATATGTAAAGACAACCATTATCTTTTCTAATGACATGGTCTGCTCCTCTTTATTAGATAATTCATTTATTCAACAGATATTTATTTTAGTGCCAAGCACTATTCTATGTGCTAAGGATGCACTGCCGAACAAGTCAGCCTCTTCTCTCACTTCTTTCATCAATTCTGGTGTGGGATTCAGAAAATGAATAAAAGTAGAATTTCAGGTAGTGATAAATGCTATCACAAAATCACCATTTCCCGATTTATGTTTCCTGTCAAATATTCAGCTAAAAATTGCATGCACATGCACGACAGCAAATACACTTTTTTCTTAGCAGTCTTCCTGCTTACCTTTGTTTTCTCCTCCTTCCTGACCCCGGAATCCATTACTGGCTCTTATCCTTCTGTCTCTAATTTCAGTTTTACAATGTATGACTTTTGTGTCTTTTCCTTTTGCAAATGACTGAGGCCAGTAGGAGATCCAGAATTTCAATATTGGAAAGGCTTAAGGTGGAAACCCAGAGGGGAGGAGAGGGGGTTGAAGGCGGGCTAGAAGATAAGTCATGGGGATATGTTTGCGCAGCAAGTAGTGCATAATATGTAGGACCTATGCTTAGGTGGGGTGGCCTGGCTGGGGGCATCTGGATATAGTGGGAAGGGAAGGAAAAGCTTTAGGTACCAGCACCAATCACTCCCTGGCTCTGCCCTAACTGGAGAAGAGCATGAACGCTAAATAAATGAATAGTGGTTAGTTTGGGTGGTTTTGTTTGTTTTTTGCCAGTTTCTGTAAGTATAAAACCAAATGTAGTCCTGATGAGATTTTTCATGTTTCTAGTCATTTTTTGTGACTCTGCTGATCCTGTTTTCAGGCAGTTTCGGAGGAAGGGGCAAGTGTGCTTGTCCACTGTTCCGATGGCTGGGACAGGACGGCTCAGGTGTGCTCAGTGGCCAGCCTCCTGCTGGATCCGCACTACCGGACTCTGCAGGGCTTCATGGTGAGTGAGGCCACCTGGGTGCTTCCCACGCGGGACCCTGAACGGAATGAACCTCTCCTTTGGCAACTGTCAGCAACATTTTTTTTTTCTCATCAACATTATTTTTCTTTTAGCAGATCAGCAAGATCAATTAGAGGGGAAAAAGTGAAATAGGCTGGGAGTAAAGAGGTGAATTGGGGGGATTTTGGAGCCAATCAGAATCAATGCTATTAAATGTGAATTTGGGGGCAAATATAAACTATAGTAAGTAGTTTGTAAAACAGTGAGCTTTATACATCATCTGCTCCAAAGTATTTCAAGTTTGAGGTAACGTGAACAGAAAACACTTCAAAACATACTTGGAGACAAAATTTTCTATATCGAGCATGCAAAAAATCTTGGAGAGAAAAAACTATTTTCACTTACTGCTTTTATTTTTTAAGTAGTCCTTTACAACTCTGGATGACAATATTGAAAATGTCAGTGTTTTTGTGTTTTTTGCTGAAATTATGAGTGCGTCCTCTTAGATGCTGCGCCTTTTAGGTGTGCATCAAAATATGTGTTGCTTCCAACTGCAGAATATGTGTAGTTGCCTAGAATGGTGGAGCTTTGGCTAAGCTGGAACCATTTTCCTAAAACGACTGCAGGGACTTCCTGGGGACTGGGAAAATGACGTGGCTCCTGCCTCTTGAACCAGGATTTGGTGGAAAGTGCTTCAAAGGTCCTGAAACCATGCTAGGGGTAGATGTTGACAGAACAGGCCAGATGGGATATCTCTTGGAAGATCTCCTTTATCAAGTCATACCAGCTGACACTCTGGGGACCAGAGAGAAGAGGCAGGATTCCTCTCTTGGGCTTTTTTTTTTTTTTTTAATGATTTTATTGGGGAATTGGGGGAGGGGAACAGCCAAGTTGTTGTCCTTCAGTTTTAGTTGTGGAGGGCACAGCCAGCTCAGCTTCCAGTCCAGTCACTGCTCTCAGTCTAGTTGCGGGTGGGCATAGCCAACATCCCATGCAGGAGTCGAACTGGCAGCCGTGTTGTTAAGAACGTGCGCTCTATCCCGAGCCACCTGGGTGGCAGCCCAGCTCAAGGTGCTGAGTTCAGTCTTTAGCTGCAGATGGGCGTAGCCCACCATCTCGAACTGCAACCTTGTTAAGAGCATGTGCTCTCACCAGCTGAGCCATCCTGCCACCTGTTGGCAGCTCAGCTCGGGCAAAGTTAACTGGGCCATGTGGGAATTGAACCGACGACCCTGTTGCTCAGAGCTCGCACTCTTAAGCTAACTCTTATTAATCAACTGAGCCACTCGAATGGACCCTCTTGGGCTTTGTTTTTGAAACTGTCAGAGAACTTCCAATTACCTGTGACAGTATTGATACTTCAGAGGGCCATTCCCATTTATTTTTCCTATGGATGACCTTCAATTCTGCCCTTCCGATTAGCATCTCTTTATTGGTGGGTAATGAGTGCTCATTCATTTGCAGGTTACCCGAGGATGGTGACTTCTGTTCCAAGAACCTTTGAATCGTTCAGCATTATTGGTTGTGGTCTCTTATTTTTCCTCGTTTGCTTCTCTCCATGATATTTATATTCTTTCTTGTGTAGGTATTAATTGAAAAGGACTGGATTTCCTTTGGTCATAAGTTTAATCACAGGTAAGAAATATTTTAAAATCTTTTGAATGTTTAGGATGAAAAAAATGTGTTTCTGAAGTTCTCAATTAGTATGGAAAATAGCCTTATTTTTAAAAAGTTTTTTTGTAACTCATTCATAAAGTTCAATTTTATTGTATACATTGTATCAGATAAATGAAGTTCTAACCCTGAGTACTCTTGGTAAAACTAATTCACTTTAAAATTGTTCCAGAAGAGATGGAGAATGCTTGTTCACTGACCTAGAAAGGATTGGCTCTCCCTGCCTCCTACCAAACACATTATTCCATTTTTGAACTGCAGACATTCACTTTAAGCTGCAAGTTGTGAAATGCCTGTGGAACAGCTTCTCTTTGACTTTTCACAAAGAGGGTTAACTGAGTTTTCCTGAGACATGTGTCACAGGTGACGTTTGTCGCAGACCTCTCTTAGTAATGTAGTGTAGGATGGTGGCTCAGGCTTTGGTGCCAGACAGATCCAGATCTAAATCCAAGCTGTGGCATTTACTAGCTGTTGGCCTCGGGCACCTGTCCTCCGAGCATTGGTCTCCCATCTGTGAAATGGTGCTACCCTCCCTATTTTGCAGGGTTAGAGCAAGTTTTCTTTTGTTTGTTTGTTTTGAATTAAAGTTTATTGGGGTGACATTTGTTAAGTCAAGTTACATAGATTTCAGGGGTACAATTCTGTAATACATCATCTATATTTAAAAGTATATGTAATTAGCCTAACTCCTTGCCTGGCTTACACACTAGGATTTCAATAAACAGAAGCGATTGTGTTTGGAGACACCAGACTCCTTATTTTAGTATTGATGATAATGCCTGACCTGTGTTCTAGTGTTCTCTGATCTCTGAGCGTTAAATGTTGTAGCTAGTGTTGTCTAGTATTTTGGTGCTAAAATTTCAATTTAGGCAGCGTGCAAAAAATTTAATTATATATTTTAATATACATTTTTTACTGTTTCAAGGTCTTTCCTAAAATAAAGTCTAAGTTCATGGAACTGCCTATATTTATTTTTATAGTTTTTGTATTTAGCGTTAATTGAGCATTCATTTTGTGCTTTCTAGAATCCTGTTTTTATAAATAATTACTTCTCCAGGAAAGCACAATGATTCCATTTTATAAAGGAGAAAATTAAAGCCCCCAAATCAATTAAGTAACCTTCTTAAGATCACACTGTTATTTCAGTTTGGGGGTACCTACTGACTCTAGGCAGTTAGAATATCTGAGACAGAGGACATATGGACAGAAAGTATATGGAAATGGCTGAAGACTAGCTGGATAATTGATTTAAGAGGAAACAGTATATTAGGCAACCTGTTTTAAGGCTACCAAAGGTGAACAGAACTGAAACTTTTGAGAAGTTTCTAGACAATTTCTAATGTTTCCACTTTTGGGAAAATTCCTAAACTGATCCCTGCTCATTTCTATTCCTCAAGTTGATTATCCATTGCTGAGAACATGAGGTTCCATAGTGTCATTTTATACTTGATGGCACCCAAATTACGCTTTTATATTCTTTCTAAAATACATACAGTAGTGTAAAGGACTAGGCAGTCTTCATTTAAATTCTTATCTACTCTTGAAAGTAGTTTCAAGATTCTCTGATGTACTCTTGAAAAACAAGAGGTATGAGATATAAAGGTTTTTTGGAATCTGTGGTCACGTGGAAACAAATTTTATGACAAGTTTTAATACTGCTCTAGAGATGGAAATATCCCTAGAAACTTGGGAAACCACCATTTTTTTTTTTTTTAGCTGAGCCATCCTGCCACCTATTGGCAGCTCAGCGGCTGCTCAGCTCAGGCTGGACTTGAACCGCTGTTGCTCAGAGCTCAAACTCTTGAGCGAGCTCTTAACCAACTGAGCCACTCGGCCGGCCCAGGGAAACCACCATTTTTTCAAGTTGTCTTGCTTCCTCATTCCTTCCCTCCAAAATAATGAAACGTGAAAAACTCTAAGATGCTTAGCTATTTCTTCCCTCTCTCACTAGACACTAATTAAAATAAAGTAGAAGATTTATTTCAAAAATTCTGATACACTTTTATAATTTGAATTAAAGAATGCTCTTTTTTCATGGAAAGTTTCCTGTAATTTTACCTTTAGGACTAATACATTCTTTTGTAATTATAGCATGAATATGTCCCTTCTCTACCCAGACCATTACAAAGTTTCTCTTGAAATTGGAATTTATAGCTATTTTTTTCCACTTCTGCATTCTAGATTTGTTAAGATAGTTATTTAGGAACTAGAGTTGCTTTTATGATTGTTTTTGCATTTATAGCTTCCTAATTTAAAAAAAAAAAAAGAAGCTTGCCCTAAACTTTCTCTAACACTTTATTTTATAGATATGGCAATCTAGATGGTGATCCAAAAGAAATCTCTCCAGTTATTGACCAGTTCATTGAGTGTGTTTGGCAATTAATGGAACAATTTCCCTGTGCATTTGAGTTCAATGAGAGGTTTCTGATTCACATTCAACATCACATTTATTCCTGCCAGTTTGGAAACTTCCTATGTAACAGCCAAAAAGAGAGACGAGAACTTAAGTAAGTGTTTTGGTGTTTAATTTTTATGTAAAGTAATTTTGTGACAGAATTTCAGATGGCCTCTATTTTAGCCACACACCTGTACTGACAGATTAAAGTTTTCTTTTTCATGACATTACCTCATAAATGGTTTAATGTCCATTTAAACCATTTAAACTGACAAAGACAGGTACAAGTTCATTTCCCCCAGTTTCTGCCTGACAGCCACCGACAGGTTGGTAGACTTGACACAGTAATATTGATAGGAAAGTTCCTTGAGTCAAAGAAAGTGATTTTTGCATTTAAAAGGAAAAATCAGACATCTTTGGTGGATGTATTTTCATAATAAGAATTGCAAATATAATCTGGAAAGCAAATTTGAAACTCAAGTCACTCTAATTCAGATTAAAACTGCAGTGCCTTTATCCGGAGGGAAAAAGTAGATGAGGGTGGACTTTAAATGATGAAGTCAAAAACTTAAACTGCAATGTGACTTATGAACAGCAAATGAGAAAATTTTTGAAATTTTCATAAATTAAAATGATTTAACTGTAGACTACATAGTATCAGATTTAATTTTGGAAATGACCAGTTAAAATAGACTCCACTAATTTTATGCTGTCTGAACAGAAAGAAAATGACTTTTTCTAGGGAATACTAGTTTATGTTTTCTCAAGGAACTTCAAGTATGATTCCTGATACATGATAATGATTTAAAAGTCGCGGAGTGTCTCCTTTACGCTCACCTGTTTCCTAGATAGTTTTGTGGTATGTTGTGATAGACTAGCCAACTTAATGGCATTTGTTTGGGTTTGAGTCACAGCTATTCCACTCACCAGCTATATGACTTTGGGAAACTACTTATCTCTCTAAGCCTCAGTTTCCTCATTTGTAAAACAACATATCTGATAGGAATTCAGTGAGAACTAAATGAGAGAAAACTTGTGAAGCATTTAAGTAGTACCTGGCAAATAATAAAAGTTCAATGATTACTTGGAGGAAAACAACCCAAAAATTACACAGCAATTTTATTTTACACTCAGAGCAGAGGAATTTAAACATCTTGTCCAGGCCAGTACAGGGACCAGAGGAGTGAAATTTTTACAGTGTTCTTCTGCTGTACCATGAAGACAGAGAGTGTAAATTCCCCTGTTACAAAACAGGGACATGTGATGCTCAGATAACAATTACTGATCTCCTTCCAGCTTCAATATTACATATTCAACTATTTATAAGAACCAAGATAGGTCATTTTCAGGCTTTTTTTTTTTTTTAAATAACAGAATTCAAGAAAGAACATACTCTTTATGGGCTCACCTGTGGAAGAATCGGGCCGACTACCTGAATCCTCTATTTAGAGCTGACCACAGTCAGCCCCAGGGAACCCTTCGTCTCCCCACAACGCCATGCAACTTCATGTACAAGTATGTCGACTTCTAGGACCTTTCTAGGGGTGGTTCTGAACTGAGATTCTGGCACTGTTTAATATTTGGAGGCCAACGTGTATGAGACACTGAGCTTCAAGGCTTTTTGTGACACAAAACATCAAAGGAGGATACTTAAATATCTGACCTGGTTCAGTAAAACCTTGGATTGCGAGTAACTTGGTTTGTGAGTGTTCCGCAAGATGCGCAAACATTTCTAATACATTTTAACTTGGTAAACGAGCGATGTCTTACAATACGAGTAGTTTGTGTTTTCGGTATGAATTATGCTCACAAACCAAGGTATTATTGTATTTTTGGTACTTTTGCCAGTATCTCCTCTCCCTCTCCTTTCCCACTAAATAGAGAATTATCTTGAGAAGTTGATGTTTTGTAATAATACCTTAAACATTTTATTTAAAAGCAAAAGAGAGGGCAGGAAGAGGGATGGAGAATTGAAAGAAGGAGAGATGGGCTGGATAAACCAAGTAGTACCGTATAAGTTAAATGTGGAATCCCAAGTTTAGGTAGTGATCATGACACAGCTTACCTTCTTTCTCTGCTGAATCCAGCTCTAGTAGAGCTATATCCCTGTGGAAATAAATTACATTGGGACTGGGAGAGCAGGGTGGCATCCAACAGATTCTACATGTGTAAAACAGCAGTTTTGAGAGCTGCTGAGACACATTGCAATCAATTGTACTGCAACTAATCGGTTACTAATAGGCAGTCAGCAAATATATTATTGAGGATTAAGCACTGTTCTAGGCACTGTGGATAAAACAATGAATGACACTGAGTCTGCCTTCAAAGTGCTTTTCTAAGTAAAGAGTGGATCTGCGGATATCCCTAGGATTCTACTACTTATTCCCATTTGTATTTCAGTATGCTTTGTGGTGTAGGATAAAAAAGGGAGTGTTTATTACTTTGGTGGTTGTGATAAAAATAAGCTAAAACTCTCAAATTTAAAACTCACTTTGCAGCTGCAAGATTCTACATGTTAATCAATCACTATTTTCCAAGTTTACTTCAAAACTAAGAGCCATTTTCTTAACTGCCCCTCCCAAAAGAAAAAAAAAGTAACATGGGGTACTTCAATCTATCTTAGAAAATTGTAGGCCTTCTAATTCAGTATCATATATACAAATTGGTGAATTTACTCTCCTTAAAAGAAGTTTACTGAATCAAGAAAAATAAAACATCAACATGAAGTTGTTACCTTAAGTTAGTGGCTTTTTTGAGCCTGTAATTTGCATTTGGCTATTATTAGGACTGTGGGACTGTGTTATTAAAAGATACCTCAGGAGACCTGAGAATGTGAATTTACAGAGTGTGATGCTGTGGTACAAAGCTCTGCCATCCCTTCCAGGTTTTGGAGTGGGATGTATAACCGCTTTGAAAAGGGCCTGCAGCCCCGACAATCAGTTACAGACTACCTCATGGCCGTGAAGGAGGAAACCCAGCAGCTGGAGGAGGAGCTGGAGGTCCTAGAAGAGGTAAGACACACTTACTCTTGTTTATCTTATTTTCTGTGCTTTTTCCTCAACAATCACTGCTCCATGCAAGCCTCTCATGACTCAGGGTATGTGAAATGTAGCAATGGATAACCTGAAACACAACCCCATCAGGTGGGCACCCAGAAAACCGGAGCCCAAACCTAAGCAGCACTTAATTCACTTCAGGCATCTGGCTTGTGGCTCACTTCCATGGTTTACTGAACTAGTTGTTTATTCCTACAGTGGGTCAGGATTTTGTGTGTGCGTGTGTGTGTGTGTGTGTGTGTGTGTGTGTGTGTGTGTGTGTGTGTTACTGTTGAGAGTACTAAAATGAATTCTTTCTGGAGAATTCACACAAAAAAAATAGATTCAAAGTGAAAGAACAAAATCAGATATATGTACTTGTAGATAATGATACACAATTTTATAATGATATGCAAACTCCTGATGTCTGCCTGGCTCTAAGCCTACCGATTCTGATAGAGAACCTTTAGAGTGCCGTAACTCTGACTTGCCACCAGGGCTGAAGCCTAGAATTAAAAACATACCTGAAATGAATTAAAACAAACAAACAAACAAATCATCTGCAGAGAACTAATATAAGGCACAGGTTAGGTTTTTAAAATTCTGGAGCTGTGGTAAAAGCTCTGCCCTTCAAAATCCACTCATGTCATCACTGGACCAGTTTTATTTACTTTTCCTAAAGATATACAAGCTTTATGAAAAGCTTAGGATTCTATTAATTTGTTCCAGAATTCTTTTTGTTAAAATATAATACTACTAATAAAAAAATTACTTAGAATATCTAAAAGTACCTTTTGCCCTTTTTTCCTTACAACAAACATAAAATTCCTTAGCCTGGCAAGTGCGATTTTCCCACAATCCGGTCTAATGTACCTTTTAAACTTTATTCTCCACTATTCCCCTTGCTCACATTTATCTGTTCCCTGCTTCTTGTACATAACAGACACTTTGCTACATTTGTGCTTTCCTTCTCACTGTCCCTCCTGCCAGAAATGCTCTAACCATCACCAGTATGTCCAGCAAGTTTAATTCCTTCACAGTCCTGTTAAAATGCTGCTTCCTCCCTGAACCTTACCCTGATCGCTTCCCTCTAACTGTACTACCTTGCCCTCTGAAATCATTCTTACCTCCCCAATTCCTACATTACATGAGCTCTGCCTCTCTACTCAAAGCTCCTTAAGGCTAGATCTGTATTTGTCTCTATTCCTCATACTGCCCAGCACAGTGCTTTTGTACATAACTTAATATGAATGCTTTTTGAGTATGTAATACCACACACACACACACACACACACACACACACACACACACACACACACACCTTCCTTGCCAACATCAAAGAAAGAAATCCGGTAAACTGTATTTTGAACAACCCAAATATCCATCATCTGATCAATGGATATAAACAAAATGTGGATATTCATACAATGGAATATTATTCAGCCAGAAAAAGGAATGTATTGTAGCATGTAGCTAATACATGTTACAGTGTGGATGAACCCTGAGAACATAAGCTTAAAGAAAGAAGCCAGACACAAAAGGCTGCATGTTATATGATTCTGCTTATATAGAAATATCCAGACTAGGCAAATCCATCGAGAGAGAAAGTAGATTAGTGGTTACAGGGGCTGTGGGAAAGGGGAATGGGAGTGACTGCTAATAGGTATGGGGTTTTCTTGGGGATGATGGAAATATTTTGGAATTAGATTGTGGTGAATGGTTGCATAACCTTGTGAATATACTAAAAACCACTAAATTATATCTTTTAAAAGGGTGAGTTTTATGGTAAGTGATTTATATCTCGATTTTTAAAATTAGGTAATGCCTTATTCCTGATTTTTTAAAATGTATTTTGAGTTCACAGGGTGAAAATGACTGTAAAACCAGATAGGTATAGAAAGAATGAGTACTGATGCCAGGTGCTTTACCTATGTTATTGTTTTTGCATTTTAGAGAAAACCTATGCTATGGCAGGTATTACCATCCTTATATTAGAGATGAAGAAACCAAGCCTCACAGAGTCTAATTGCTTTGTCCAACGTTATAAAGTCTACCTTTACCTTTGACCCCAAGTCCATCTAAAGCCCATGTTCTTAACATTACACTAGCTGGAAGGTGATGAGTGCTAAAGACATGAATATGTAAAACAGATAAATTATTTATGATTTTTCCCTGTAATGGTTATTTCTTTTTTAGAGGCTGGAAAAAATCCAAAAAGTCCAGTTAAATCGCACTAAAGTGAAGAGTAAGCCAAGTGAGCCCAGCAAACACTCTGGGTTTTCTACCTCAGACAACAGCACGGCCAACACGCCCCAGGATTACAGTGGGAATGTGAAATCGTTTCCATCCAGGAGCCCTTCACAAGGCGACGAAGACTCTGCTCTGATTCTAACCCAAGACAATCTGAAAAGCTCAGATCCAGACCTGTCCGCCAACAGCGACCAGGAGTCGGGGGTGGAGGACTTGAGCTGCCGCTCTCCCAGCGGTGGGGAGTGTGCCCCAAGCGAAGACAGCACCAAGGACCGGGATTCCGACGAAGCCGTGTTCCTCACGGCATGAAGCTTCCCTTCGGAGGTTCCAAAACAAAGGACACACAAGAAACACTTTCCAAAAATAAGGGAACAGTGCAATTTAAGATACAAAATAACTCCAGAAATGGTGCATGCCACTGCGAATTATAAAATGCAGCGATGAAAACGGGAGGGGGAAGAGTCCAACTTGGTTTCTTTAGACGCTGAAGAACAGGAAGTAGCCATTTCTTGGATCAAATAAATATTAAGGGCATTCTCCAATTTGAAAATCCTTCTAGACTATGGCAGTTTTATTCATGACAGAGCAATGGCCTCTACTGTCACCCGAGGTTATCAATACAAATCTTCCTGTCACAGCATGCATCTGCTAGCCCTGACCCCGTTCCCTCACACCTGCTACCATCTGCAGTCCTTCTCTGTATTTCACTCCCTGAGGCATATTTGTTTCTAAAACATTCGATGTTATCTTCCTTCCTGACTCTGTTATCAATATTTCTAATAACAAAGCACATTGTTGAGATGCACCCTTTTTTGGTTAATAGATATATTTCTGTACCTGAAGAGCTTTGTAATTGCTTAAGTTTATCTTTCAGGTTTAAGGACCACTTTAACTTTTCCTTGGATAATATATTTTGAATTGTTATAATAATTTTGCCTTTTTCTGGAATCTCTTTACTTGTCACCATTTAAAAAACGCTAAAACTTATAACTCACTTTTTCTCTGACACGGGTCTACTAACTAATAAAGTAGAAGCAAAATTTACTCTCTGGTTCTTAAATATGAACTGATATCATATTAGCTTTTTTATTAACAACCTTTTATTACTATTCCAGAGGCTCCGTTACTAAGACAGTGTGGGCTAACCACCAGCTTGATCCCTGAAGTCTAACAAGTAAAGTTAGTAGGAATTTCAATGAGGGAGAATCCTAGAGAATGTGGTGGTCATTTCTATTTAATCAGTGGAATACATTTTGTCATCTATCATTTTAGAAATTATAACTGGTTAATATGGTTTAACTAACAGTAACATCTGATGACCACTGACTGCTAAATTTGTTCTGAAAAGTTTCTGTTTTGCTAAAATGCACTTTTGAAGCAGAATTATTCCTATCTATTGATTTAAAAAAAAATGGGACTTTACTGGGTGACCTAAACTTTTGATCTGAAGAAACTTAGTGGAGAAAAGTTGCCATGTTTGAATGGAGATAAATAACATTCACACTGTATGAGTTTCAATTATTAGGTACGATCTACATCAACATTTTGAATATGTGAAAAATTTTAAATGGCATATTAAGTTTTGCCAAAATGGGTTCAAAATAAAGAGAAAGGGGAGAAGAGTGACATCACCAAGAGGGAGACATAGGTCAGTCCCGACTCTGCTCCCTTTCATAAGAACAGCAACTAACAACTATTTATGGACAAAATACACCGAGGGAAACCCAGAACTCGAGAGTGAGGCTGAGGCAGCCCCTGCACCACAGAGACCAAGGGCTACAGGACTACATCAGAAGGGGAAGAGGAGTGGCCGCACGCTGATTGCATTGGTTCTCCCCCAGGCCAGCACAGCACTGTCTCCCATGAGCCTATAGTTCCTCCAGTGGGAACAGAGTGCCCAGGGGTGACATCCAGCATCCCAGCATGGTGGGTCGCTTTGTGGGAGCCCCTGCTCCGGGTTTGCCCCATAGGAATTGAAGGGGAATCTGTGGGGCTCCACCACTGGGCTTCCGATTGAGATGGAGAAGTGGGGAGGGGCTTCCAATGACCAGCACTCAGATCTTGAAGGACTGAATTCCTACCTTCAGAGCCCAGCAGTAGTCCCAACCAGCGGCTGCTCATCTGCAGAGTCAGATGACACAGTCTGACTGGGGAATTCGGCATAGTGCGGATCTGCCTAATTCGGGTTCCCAAAGGGGGAGCTCTGCGGGCGCGGGAGCCTGCTCTATGTACGCCCAGGTGGGAGAGCCATACCCCCACTTGCTGTAGATCGAGGCTCCTGGTCGCTCCTGATCAGAAACCTGTTTGGGAAAATTTAGGAGTTACCTGAAATAGGCCCTCCCAGTCTTGCCCCGGCAGGGGTCCCACCTGCTGCAGAGCGTGGCCCCAGCCCCATCTGACCAGATGGGCAGGCAAGAACACCTTCGAGCTGTGTTACCCAGCAACTCATGAGCCAGGAGGTGGGCAGGCAGAGCCGATGACTCTCAGAGCCAGGCAAGCAGCCAAGTTTGGCCGGGGGACTTGGGGCACGGTTAGCTTGAGTCAAGACCACAACAAAGAGCATTCCTGGCTTTCAAGCTGCTTCTCCCACTGCACCCAAGCAGGGAAATTAATTTGTTGACCCACTTATTGTTGAATAACAATCCAGCCTTCAATTCGCCCAACCAGGGACCCTTAGCAGAACACACAGGAAGCTGCCCACCCAGCACTGTTTACAGTGGCACTTGAACAGAGAGCACAGGCTTGTCTTTCCCTACCTGCAGAGCGAAACTGACAGTCTCACCTGACCAGGATATTCAGTGCACATTCTTGCCCGATTTGAGTCCCATCCTGCTGCTCTGCCAGGGCAGGGAAGGTAACTCATAGCTCCACCTACTGCTGAGTAGTCCCGACTGTCTACTAGGCCTGACCAGACAATCCAGGCAACTGTGAAGCCCATCCTACAATCTCACTTGTGTAGGGCACCAAGTCAGCAGTCCTGTCCAGCTGTCATCAGCTGGCACACCCCCCACCTCTGACCTCAGCTTGACCAGTTGCCTCGCACAAAATAGACCCTCATAGCAGCTCCACCTGCCCGATTACAACACCAGCAGACATGTCCAGAAATGCGGACTGAGCTGCCTGGTGAAGAACTGTCTCTTCTAAAGCAAACCTGAAAAGTCTGGAAGAGGAACCGCTTACTCAAACATGCACATACCAACATCAGGAATTAAAAATCACGAAAAATCAGGTAAATATGAAACCATCAGAGGCAGCTAATAAAGCTCTGATAACTGACAGCAGCAGCATACACAGTCTTCTCAAGTGCACACGGAACATTTTCTAAGACAGACCATATGTCAGGCCACAAAAGAAGTCTTAGAAAATCCAAGAAGGTTGAAATCATACCAAGTATCTTCTCTGAGTAGTGTGAAACTAAGAATCAATAGCAAGAGGAAAACTGGAAAATTCACAAATATATAGAAATTAGATAGCATTCTCCTGAACAACAAATGGATTAAAGAAGAAATTAAAGGGAAATAAAGAAGTACCTTTAGACAAATGAAAATGGAAACACAATACACCAAAACTTACAGGGTGCTGCAAAAGCAGTTCAAGAGAGAAGTTCATAGCAATAAACACATGTATTAAGAAGAACGATCCCAAATAAACATCATAACCCTATACCTTGCAGAACTAGAAAAAGAACAAACGGAGCCCAAAGTTAGCAGAAGAAAGGAAAAAGGAAAGACTAGAGCAGAAATAAGTGAAATAGAGAACAGGAAAATAACATAAAAGATTAACAAAACTAAAAGCTAGTTCTCTGAAAAGATAAACAAAACTAACAAACTAGCTGGATTCACCAAGGAAAAAAGAGGACCCAAATCAACAAAATTATAAATGAAAAAGAAGACATTACAAATGATACCATAGGAGTACAAAGAATCATAAGAGGCTATTATGAACAATTATATACCAACAACCTTAGCCACCTAGAAAATGGAAAAATTCTTAGAAACATATAAACTACCACAACTAAATCAGGAATAAATAGAAAGCATAAATAAACCAATTGCTAGTAAGGAGACTAAATCAGTAGTCAAAAATCTCAAATGAAGATAAGCTCAGGACCAGATGGCTTCACTGGTGAATTTTTACCAAACACATAATAAAAAATTAACGCCAATCTTTCTCAAAGTCTTTCAAAATCAAAGAGGAAGAACACTCTCAAACTCATTTTATGAGGCTTCACCCTGATACCAAAGACAGAAAAAGACACTACCAGAAAACTACAGACTAAGGTCACTGATGAATATAGATGCAAAAATTCTCAATAAAGTACTATCAGACCAAATTCAGCAGCACATTAAAAATATCACTCATAGGGCTGGCTGAGTGGCTCAGTTGGTTAAGAGCTCGCTCAAGAGTTTGAGCTCTGAGCAACAGTGGTTCAATGCCCGGCCCGAGCTGAGCAGCT